TGCAGACGACGATGCTTAGAATGAGCCTGGCACATGTCAGGGAGATGCTTCATCCCTAAGCAACGGCCATCTCCACTGCGCAGCATTTTCACCTCCTTTCAGCTTCACACTAAATCGATGTCAATTCAGTTCATTTGTCTCTGGAAAACTGGCCCTAGAGCAAAAGCGTTTTCCATAACAACGTAGAGGTTATCTGCATAGATATGTAATTTTTTAAAGAACAGTGAATACAAACTTCTTAGAAAGGAATTATACATTCCTCTTCCACCGACAAAAGCCACAATGACTGATGGCGAAAGGACTGGAAGCTCTCGGGGGATAAATACTTTCCATCTCTTAGGTGCTATTTTTAAAAACCTCTGTGTGTTTTGGGTTTTTTTTGCCATGCAGGCAATGACAACACAGCTTCTCCCCACCACCACCACCCATCTACGTGGAACGGCAACTGAGTGGGGTAGGTTTAGCTCCCGAGCCTCTTTTTCGATTTCCTTGATAGTGAAGAGAGTGGAAAGGGAGGTCCCTTCCAACGCTATGATTCTATGATTCCAGTATTACTCCTCCCCCTTTCTAGATCATTTATGAACAAATTAAATGTTACGGGACCAATAATTGTGGGAGCCTTTGCTTTGTGACATCAGTGTTTAGCCAAATCCAATCAGTTATACGGAATCATGGTGATAGTGTGATGACGTCACGTTAGGTGATCCCTGATTGGCTAGGATCACTTTCTAGGAAAAATGCTTCTGTCCGTTTTTCTAAAAGAGTGCTTGAAGCATTTGCTTAGAAACAATTGTGAAAGGAGTGCACATAGGCAGTCCCCCCCTCCCGGGGGCGATTGTGCCCCCCACCCCAGCACCACTTTAATACCCAAAAATATTTGATAGCAAACTTTCAGCATAGCCCTGCTATGAACTTGCCACAGACTCTGTGCCTGTGAAATTCAGTGGCAGGTGTACGGGATACACCGTCACCCTCTTTGTCGGCTCCAGCTGCAAATCTGTTTGGGCTTCTGTTGCCATTCCAGACCTGCGAGGGCAGCACCAATCCCTGCTGCTTCTCAGAAAATAAACACACCAATGCGCTTAGGAGCCAAATGTATTTTCCTTGGCTCCCCGGCTCCCTGGCGCTCCCGGCTGCAGCAGAAGACTCTCCGGCCAATGTCTATTTACTTGTCCAACATGGTTACTGCTTCATGTTTGGATTCGTTCAATGTGCTTTTCTCATGGCTTTCCCCCCCTCTTCTGGGCGGTGTGGGGCATATAAAGGGAACCTCACAGACTGCAGAGAAAAAGACGATGCTCAGTGGTTCTCCTGGGACGGGCCCATAATCCACCTTTCAGCGAGTCCTATTTACCTAATAGGACTTGGAAATCCAAGGTGGACGCCTTCAGAATACAAATTTTCGGAGTCCTTTGTGTTTCCTACGGGACGTGTGTCTCACCCGCGGGGAACCTCCTGTGCTCTTAAGACCGGGAGCTGATCCTAAGAACAGAAAACGATTAGCAGATGGTTTCTATACATTGCGCTTTCGGCGTCCCCATAGCAAAATGTTCCAATTAGAACGCGTGCTAATTGGAAGCAATTAGCTTCGACATGTGCACTTGGCGCTGTGCCTGGCTTCCCCCCTGCTCCCGCCATGCTTTGGCTATGAAAAGCCATAGTACCCAAGCATGGATGGACTTAAACGACCTGCACTTGGTCAGATGTGCCAGGAAAGCCCGCAAGTGATGTACATAAAGCCTGCCCTTGGTTTTTGCTTTAAATGTAACAGATAAAATAAATACCACGCAGCTAATTCAATGACAAATTCAGGCGCAGGTTGAATTCCTTTCCTTGTTAAAGGCCAATACTGTCAAAGCAAAGACGGAAAACACGTTCTTTCCTTAGGGATGCGCGAGTTCTGGGTAGGTTTGCCAACCGCCAGGTGGCACCGGGAGATCTCCCGCTGTTACGTTTGATCTCCAGACAACCAAGATCAGTTCCCTAGGAGGGAAACGGCTGGTTTCGGAGGTTGAATGCTATGACATTATAGCTCTTTTTGTAGCAGGAACTCCTTTGCATATTAGGCAACACACTCCTAATGTAGCCAATTGTTGGGTATTACAAGTTAAAAACACTCAGTATATCTGGGGTTAAATGTTTGTTTATGTTACTCACAGGAAGTCACATGTTTCTCATGTAACCAATGTTCTTTAGATGTGGATTGCCCGGGAATTTTCTCCCTGATCTAGGGATTTGATTGGGACTAAAGTGTCAAAGTATATTACCATTTTATGGCTTCTCTTCCCGTCTTTGTTTGGTGTTCTGAAGAAGAAGACGAGAGAGAAGCCATAACACTCTTCTAGTTTTGTCTTTGTAGTGTAAGGATGTAGCCGATTATGCTCTTTTGTTATTTTCATCCCAGTTACCCTTCCCCATGCTAGAATTTAGTAAAAACTTTATATTTTAATCACACATGGACTCTCAGTCTGAATTATTGTACTCAGGCTCTGCTGGGCTATATTATCTCCGCTAAATACCATTTTTCAATATCTCACTATCACCCAACACCAATCCTCCAAGAGCTTACAGTAGGCCCTGTAAGAAGAGCTCTGTTTGTGGGTTTTTTTGGTCATTTGCTTCCCATGTGCATAAACGAGGCATTGCACCTCCGCACTGAGGGCCCCCTATGGAATATGCAATGATGCGCGTACTGAAAAGGGGGGGGGGGACGGCACCGAGCCTGATCAAACCATCCCAACGGCTTGAGAGTGTGCTTGCGCAACCAGGCAGGGGAAAGTCTGTCTGTGGCCCATCGGAACCTGTTTAGTACTGGACTTTCCCCGTCGTCTTTTAACTCCGCTTCTGCGACAGAGCGGTACGGGTTGCCGATGACTGCGGGACGCTTCCCAGATGTTCCTGTCCGATTGCTCCCTTTAGATCCATCAGGCATTCGCGCCTAGGTCGGATCTAAAGGCGCGTGTGACCGCAGCCTAACAGAGGTAGTTTTCCATTGGTTTCCTCTATGTAGCAACTCAGGGCTTCCTTGATGGTCTGCCAGGGCTCTTTTTGTAGAAAAAGCCCAACAGGAACTCATTAGCATAATAGGCCACACCAAACAACAGGAACTCATTAGCATATTGGCCCACACCCCTGACAGCACAGCTCATTAGCACATTAGGCCACACCCCCATGTTACCAGAAGTGTGGTTATCTAGCCACACCCACCTCTTGCTTGTTATTCTGTTTACCTTGTTTGTTGTCAAAACCCAGGGCCTTTTTTTGTAGCAGGGACTCCTTTGCATGTCAGGCCACACACCCCTAATGTAGCCAATCCTAATGAGTTCCTGCTGTTGGGTGTGGCCTATTATGTTAATGAGTTCCTCCTGGGCGTGGCCAACTTGGGAGCCAGCCGGAACTCCGTTCCTTTGCGTTCCTGCCCAAAAATAGCCCTGGTGGTCTCCCATCCAAAGCCGACCCTGCTTAGCTTCTGAGATCTGATGAGATCAGGATAGCCTGGGCCAACCAAGTAAATGCCCACCCATAGACACCTGTTGTTGTTTTCCTGTTTGTTTGGCTGGCTGGCAACTTTACAGAAATGTCTGTAGTCCCATCACCCTACACACAAGCCAGCTGTAGTTGTTGGTCCACCGATGTGTGACATTTCTGTCTGTAACTGCCATGAAAAATTTGTATGCATGACAGATCCTGCTAAGTTGTTGTGCAGGGCCCGTTCTTTTAAATGGGGTTTACCCCAGAAAAAACTAAACATCTTGCTGTGTTGTTCCCCTACGCTAGGAGAGCGTTGAGCTGACGGCTTGTGGCAGTTTTCAGGGTTAAAGGAGAACAAATTCCGTAGCTTGTGTTTTGGCAGAGGCCCTCCGTCAGCCAGATGTGAACAATGTACGAACCTCACGGCATGGCCGGCCAAAAATAAAATTGCCCCAAACCACTTTGCAAGTCTAATAACAAGCACTTCCATTGTATGTTTTCATTATAGAACAGTAGTAAAGACCATGGAAGGCAGCCAGGCCCAAGGCTGAGCAAGTTCTGTGTTGATTGTGAACCTAGAATGGAAAATAAGCAAAGGAATCGGTGGCTTAAAAGCCTAGGTTAGTCATCAGCAGTGCAAGCCGGGAGCTGATAACTGAAGGGAGCCAGAATACTGGAGCCTGTTGTGGTAGTCTCTGTGAAGATTCAGGAGCTTCTCAATGGGACTGGACCCAATTTCTACCTACAAAATAACACCTGAACCCAAGTGTACCTTTTAAGCAGCTAGATCCCAGTCCAGTAGCACCTTGGAGACGAATAAGTTTTTCGGGACTCAAAGCTCTCTTCATCAGATACAACAGCGTTGACTCCTGAAAGCTCATACCCTGAAAATCTTGTTGGTCTCCAAGGAGGGTCACCAACTTCCAAGGAGGGGATAGAGACATCCTGGGACTAGGGATGGGCACAGAATCCCTGATGAAATAGTTCGTCACGAATTTTGGGCGGTTTGTCGTTCGTGAAGCGATGTTCGCAAACTGAAGAACTGCCACGAACTTCTACATGCAGAGCAGGTGCTTTACCACTGAGCCACGGCATCTCCCCACAAGGTCAAAAGATCTATGGGCAGACTTTTCCCCACCCTGCTTGGATACTATGGAAGATTCCCTTCTAAGCCACAGTGGGTACCCCCTGGTGCGAGAGCCAGTTTGTGGTAAGGGTTAAGAGTGGCAGACTCTAATCTGGAGAGCCGGGTTTGATTCCCACTCCTCCTCCACATGCGGCCAGCTGGGTGACCTTTGACCTGTCACAGTTCTCTCAGAGCTTTCTCAACCCCACCTAGCTCACGGGGTGTCTGTTGTGGGGAGAGGAAGGGAAGGCGACCGTAAGCTGCTCTGAGACTCCTTCAGGTAGTGAAAAGTGGCGTAGAAAAACCAGCTCTTCTTCTGTGTGATTGCGTTTCCAGAGACTGGACTTCCTTTGGGTGACTATGACCTGCTGATCTAGATTTCTATTCTCTTTCTTTTGTGCAGACCTGGGATGAAGAGCTGGAGAGATCTGCTGAATCCTGGGCCCAGCAGTGCGTTTGGGACCACGGCCCCGCCACCCTCCTGATGTCTATTGGTCAAAACCTGGCAGTTCATTGGGGCAGGTAAGAGCCGGAAAGCTGCATGGTTTCTACCGCGTTGTCTACGGAAATCTCTCTGGGATAGGACCACCATTGTAGGTAGAGAAAGAGGTACTTTTTTCCCTTTCTCACAATACAAGAACTCCTTGTGGGCACTCCATGGAATTGCTGAGCGGTCAGGTTAGAATGGATAAAAGGAAGTCCTTCTTCACCCAAAGAGTGATTAACACTTGGAATTCACTGCCACAGGAAGTGGCGGCGGCTACAAGCATGGACAGCTTCAAAAGGGAATTAGATAAGCATATGGAGCAGAGGTCCATCCGTGGCTATTAGCCACAAGGTATAGCTAGGGACTCTCAGTTTGGGGCAAGTGATGCTCTGTCATCTTGGTGCTGGGGGGGGGGGTCAACAGTGGGAGGGCTTCTTGTGTCCTGGCCCCACTGGTGGACCTCCTGATGGCACCTGGTATTTCTGGCCACTGTGTGACACAGAGTGTTGGACTGGATGGGCCTTTGGCCTGATCCAACATTGGCATCTCTTATGTTCTTATGTTCATTGTGGTTTGAAATGGTTGGTGAGGAGGGAAAGATCTTTGTTTGAACTGGAAGGCCCTTCCACTTGCACAGAGCATCTACAATTTCCACGGTTTCCATGCTCTGACTTCATTATTTCCAAAGATTTCCCCCCCCCCCCAACCCTCAGGAGTGGCTTTTGCGGGTCGCAGGAGGTTGAATCAGTGCGTGGGAGAGGAAAATATATTTTCTACAAGCAAACTCTGCTCATGAGTCTCTGGATCTCACTCAATGTCAATAAGGCTTCCTGTTTCATGCTCCCCCGTCTTAGCCACTACGCTATGATGGCACATCAGCTTTAATCATTCAAATGACACCCAATCGACATTGTCTGGAATTCTGTCTCCCTCCCTCTGGGAACTCTCTAGGTTTTCCACTGAGCATGCTCAGAATTTGTACAGGCTTATGTAAAGCCAGAATTGACCACAGATCTTTCCCATTAAGGACCTTCTGGCCTTTTGTAGACTGGGAGAGCACTTAAGCCCAAAACATCTGTGTTTACACAGATACAGAAGGTTCCGCTTAAGTCCTGAAGCTTGTCTGCTTCATTCTGTGGATTCCTGATGACTGTACCGGCCAAGAAGATCTTGCAGAACTCGTCAACGTTGCTCGGAATGTATAGACAAGCGGGAGCCCATCAAAAACCCACAAAACGTTTTCTTCTTATTCGTCGGGGTTAATTATAAATCCGGGGCTCCTCTCTGTTCCATAGCAGCCACAGTGTGCACACATGGTGAAGTGTGCTCACCACTGGAACGCTGTTTTTCACTGATTATGAGCTGGTGGTAGGGGTTCAACTCCTTGTCCACGGTTGTGGAAAAGAGTAAGAGTCCAGTAGCAGACTGTGACAGCAGCCATGAAATTAAAAGACGCCTGCTCCTTGGGAGGAAAGTGATGGCGAACCTCAACAGCATGATAAAAAGTAGAGACATCACCCTGCCAACAAAAGTCCGCATGGTCAAAGCAATTGGATTCCCAGTAGTCATGTATGGCTGCGAGAGTTGGACTACAAGGAACTACAAGTTCTTTTGAACTATGGTGCTGGAGAAGACTCTTGAGAGTCCCTTGGACTGTAAGGAGATCAAATCAGTCAATCCTAAAAGAAAACAACCCTGACTGTTCCCTGGAATAATGAAACTGAAGCTCAAATACTTTGGCCACCCAATGAGAAGGGAGCACTCACTGGGGAAGACCCTGATGCTGGGAAAGATTGAAGGTCAAAGAAGACGGGGATGGCAAAGGATGAGATGGTTAGACAGTGTCATCGATGCAACGAACATGAAACTGAGCAAACTTCAGAGGACGGCGGAAAACAGGAGGGCCTGGCGAGATCTTGTCCATGGTTTGGAGGGTGGGCTCTATGGCATTGTACCCCACTGTAAAGGTAAAGGTTCCCTTGTTCGAAAGCCAGTCGAGTCCGACTCTAGGGTTGCGGGGATCATCTCCGTTTCAAAGCCGAAGAGCCAGCGCTGTCCCGAAGACGTTTCCGTGGCCATGTGGCCGGCATGACTAAACACCAAGGCGCATGGAACACTGTTACCTTCCCACTGAAGTGGTACCTCTTTATCTCCTTGCAATTTCTTGCTTTCGAATTGCTGGATTGGCAGGAGCTGGAACTAGAGACGGGCGCTCACTCCATCACGCGGCACCCGGGTCTTGAACTGCTGAACTACCGACCTTCCACAGCCTGCAGATCAGCATCTTCACCACTTGAGCCACCGCAGCTCCTGTACCCACTGAGGTCTCTGCTTTTCCCAGGCTCCACCCCCAGATTTCTGCTGGTGGCCAAGGGGGACCTGGCAACCCTACACGTTTTCTAGGCAAAAGCTACTGCTTCTTGTTGCACGATTAGCCTGTCTGGAGAAAGGGGGATTTGGGTAGCAATCCTCAGCACAGGACAGCTACTGGGCAGGGATGCAAACATCCCTGATGAAACACACTAGAACAGAGAGACAGAAGACAAGGTCGAGTCCTCTGCAGCTTGTAAACCCCCCCATATTTGGTTTCCAACCGGGTCCACATGGCAGTTCTCTTTAATCCTCCCCGGGCATCTGGTTGCCGTTGCTTGTCCGTCTACAGCTCCTTTTCCCAGCTGGGAGCCCCTTTGTGTTCATTCCCCAAATGCAAACACATGTGCGAGTTAACGGGAAGTGTACTTTACATAATCCCAGTTGAGCATTTTATCCTAACACAGTGGCCGGAGTAAGAAAACCAGGCGTGTTTACATAGCCAGATGTTTTGGCTGGCTCCGAGTGGCTGGAGATGGACTTTGGGGCAACTCCTTGGGAGGCCAGCCTCCAGGTGGGATCGCCTGGAATGACAGCTCCTTTTCAGGCGACAGAAATCAGTTCCCCCTGAAGCAAACGGATGTTTTGAAGAGTGGACGCCATGGCGCTGTGCCCCACTGAGGTCCCTGTCCATCTCAGGCTCCGTCTCCGCATCTTTAAGAGTTCCCCAGCCGGGAGCTAGAAACGCTACCCACCCCCAGGTGGTGACCAGGGAGGATCTGGCAGCCCTTGCAAATCCCAACTCATTTTCAGTTCAGGGTCTCTATTTCCTGTCTCCTGCATCCCAAACGGTGACTTTACAGAGATGGCTGGAGGACAGAGAGTAGTATAACAAAGGCAAATAGGACCCAGCAATTTAAGTCAAACAAGCAAAAAACACATTGCCGAACAAGTTCAGAAGGGAATTGTTGATTGTGAGAGGTTGAAGTAGCCACCTTTGAAACTATGCACACATTGTTGAAAACCTTGTACTGAAGACAAACCACTACAAACTGACGTTTGATAAAGACGCAAAGTCGAAGCGGACAGTCAAGCCTGGGAAAGTTCGTCCTGCTTGTGCTGAGACTTCGGTCTCTTGATGTATTCAGCTGTTGAAACAAAACAACAATTAAAGCCGTATCTTCATTGTTAATTCATTATACTGTGAACTTGTTCAGCAATGTGTTTTTTGCTTGGAGGACAGAGAGACCAGAGTCTTTCCCTCCCGGCCGGTGTCCAAGAAAGTACGGGCGGCTTCAAGCCATCACAGCTAGCTGTGCTGTGATCAGAAGGCATAGTTGTGGGGCGGATTCTATTGGGTGCAGTAAAGAAGAAGCTGGAGACCAACTGGTGATGAAGGTGCATAAAGTTTACTTAGAGATAATGGTGAATATTTACACAGAGATATACAGACTGTCTTGCAGCATGCCATACCTTAGTTGGAGAGAACTAAGTCCCCCACCCAGCTTATCAAGCTGATAGCTTATATACTAGCCCCAGCCAATCACTAACAGGATAGACTAATTTCCTACTCTAACAATGCTTGAAGAGTAACACCTAGTAGTTTAACACCTGGCTGTAATTGCCTTAACCACTTAGCATGACAGCTAAGACTTACACATAGATCATGCTGATCTAAATCCAGTAACTGCTTGCTACCTCACCTATCTAGACATATATCTCAATAGATTCATGCCTAAACGTCATGAGATACCAGCAGTCCTACGGTTGCCAGGCTCCAGGTGGGGCCTGGAGATCTCTTAGACTTACAACTTATTTCCAGACTATGCGATCAGTTCTCCTGGAGGAAACGCCAGCTTTGGAGAATGAACTGGATGGAAAGCCAGTTTGGTGTAGGGGTTAGGAGTGCAGACTCTAATCTGGGAGAGCCGGGTTTGGTTCCCCACGCCTCCTCATGCAGCTGCTGGTGTGACTTTGGGTCAATCACAAGCTCTCTCAGCGCTGTTCACGCAAGAGCAGTCCTCAAAAGAGCTCTCTCAGCCCCACCCCACCTCACAGGCAATGCTCCCTCAAAGCTGTGGTGTTTTGTGAGAACAAATTTGACTTTCTGAGCTTCTGGCATCAAAGTTGTGAGCGAGCGATTTGGCTGCCGCATCAGTTGGTTTGCTCTGGAGCCACATCCTTCCTGAGCTAAGACAAAAATGTGTGAACTGGAGGCTAAAAACCAATGAGCTAGCTCAGACTGACTCAGCTGAGAGGGAACGCTGCTCACGGGGTGTCTGTTGTGGGAAGGGGAAGGGAAAGGAGACTGTAAGCCACTCTGAGACTCTCTGTGAAAGGCAGGGTAGAAGTCCAGTCTCTTTTTCCTCCTCCTCTTCTTCTTTATTTATTTCTTCAAACATGTACCCCGCCCTCCCCGCCAGGGCAATCTCAGGGCGGCTAACATCATAAAACACAGTAACAATAAATATATAAATAGCTAAAACAATTCATTAAAACTAACTTGCATGGTATTAAAGTGCTAGCAACTAGCAGGTAACATTGAAGATGGCCTCATACACTCTGTAGGTTCATTTGAGAGTCTGTAGGTTCACTAGGAGCTGCGGTGGCTCAAGTGGTTAAGACGCTGAACTGCAGGCTGTGGAAGGTCAGCAGTTCAGCAGTTCGAGACCCGGGTGCCGCATGACGGCGTGAGCTCCCGTCTCTAGTTCCAGCTCCTGCCAACCTAGCAGTTCGAAAGCAAGAAATTGCAAGTAGATAAATAGGGACCACTTCGGTGGGAAGGTCACAGCGTTCCGTGCGCCTTGGTATTTAGTCATGCCGGCCACATGACCACGGAAACGTCTTCAGACAGCGCTGGCTCTTCGGCTTGGAAACGGAGATGAGCACCGCAACCCTCGAGTCGGATTCGACTGGCTTTCGAGCAAGGGAAACCTTTACCTTTACCAGGTTCACTAGATATTCAGCTAATGGTCTTTCTCAGTTCGGTTGGCGGGCACAGGCTATCGGTAGCAGACCGGGTACCAGGCTTCTATTGTCAATAAGCCGTTGATGTCCAAGATCCTAGATGCTAATATTAGCCATAATAATAGAAGAACGGTAATTCTTCTATTAGACCTCACTGAGGGCCATCCCTTCTCACACATCCCACTCTCTCCACGATCTACCCTCAATCTCTAGGAAGCTCTCAACCTAGACATGGCCACCCTAGCTGAATCCCAGAATTCAGAAAGTGCCCTGTGTTACTCAAATACACATCACTTTTCTCCTTCTTGCCAGTAGGCTGGCGTTTATAGAGTCTATATGTTGGATCCCCAAGCATCGAGAATAAATCCACGTTTTCAAGAAAAGCAAAATTTATTTCAAAGCGTTGAAGACATACTCAAACACGTTCTTTGTTAGAACTGGGGATACACAGGCAGGTCAAGCATAATAAAGGAAATTCAAACAGATACACATCCAATGAATAATATTCCCGCTGGCGGGTTAATGAAACGGTTGCGCGCCCAGTCTATGGGAACCAGGCAGAATATAAAACAAAACACAGGTGCAGTTCTCATGAGATAAGCAATAGGCAAGCATTACAGCATCTTCTCCCCCACACAACCTCCAGTAGTTATCTTATGCATTCCAGCACAGGAGCAGGATGGTAGAAACAAGCCGGGTGCAGCAGGGTGAGGATATGTACACAGAGGTCACACAAAACACAATGGCAGCATGCTGACATACTGCCCCCCCTAAAATACATCTTAAAACACACCTCCCGGGTCGGGCGGGAGACCTCCCGGGCTGGGCGGGAGACCTCCCGGTTTGTCCGGGAACCTCCTGTGGAAACTACGGATCAGGTAAGGGGCCCGAATATCCCCTTCTTCCACCCATTCGCGGTGCTGGGGACCGAAATCAACCCATTCAACAAGGTACCAGAGTTTACCACGTTTCAATTTACAATCAAGGATATCAGCGATCTCAAAATGTTCATCCCCCTCCAAAATAACAGGTGGAGGAGGAGTAACTGTTGGTCTCCAGGGAGACGGACCAGGATCTTTCTTTAATAAGCTCATGTGAAAAACAGAATGCAGAGCACGTAAATTCTTAGGCAAAACAACATCAACCGCTACATCATTTATGACTTTACGCACTTTGAATGGACCAATGAACTTCCACCCCAATTTCCTGCTAGGCCGCAGCATCTTAATGTTCTTGGTCGAGACATACACAAGATCCCCAGGTTTCAGATCAAACCCCACCACCCTACCCTTGTCTGCCTGGGTCTTGTAAGCAGCCTTGGCTGCGTCAAGCGTTTGGCATAGCAGAGGCCATGCATTTTGCAAGGACATACACCATGTATCAGCATCCCCCACAGGACGTTGGCCCATCCCCTCCAGGAAAGGGAGGGGGGGCTGTCGTAACCAGAAACAGCTTTATAAGGAGACATGCCTGTGGAGCTATGTACAGTGTTGTTATAACAATATTCAGCAAGAGGCAATAATTCACACCAATCATTCTGTTGATAATTAGTAAAACAACGAAGATATTGCTCCAGGGTCTGATTAACCCGTTC